AGTTAGAAGTAAAGGGTTGGCGTTCTAAGTTAGCCCTTTGGTGCGGTAAATGATCATCTTTGTTCGGCTGAAAGTAAGAACAAAAAAAAAATAGTAGTGAACAGCTGTCGTACCGAGAACAGTCCCATTCAAAATACGAAATATCCGTCGATTTCTGTCACTGAACTTTAACTTAGCGATAGCTGTTTCTCACCCTCTCACCACGCCCCCCCACTCTCTTCCCCCACTCCTACCCTGTCGCTACACACTCTTTGTGCTTTCTTCCTCATGCTCTCATACTTGATCGATACGCTCGGACCATGTGTAATTTTTGCTATCTTCTCTCTCTCTCTTTCTCTCTCTCTTTCTCTCTCTCTCTCTCTCTCTCTTCTCTCTCTCTCTCTCTCTCTCCCTCTCTCTCTCTCTCTCTCTCTCTCTCTCTCTCTCTCTCTCTCTCTCTCTCTCTCTCTCTCTCTCTCTTTCTCTCTTTCTCTCTCTCTCTCTCTCTGACTCTCTTTCCCTCCCTCTCTCCCTCTCTCTCTTTTTCTCTCTCCCTCTCTACCTATCTATCTATCTCTCCTTCTCTCTCTATCTCTCTTTCTCTCCCTCTCCCTCCCTCTCCCCCTCCCCATCCCCATCCCCATCCCCCTCCACCTCCCCTTTCCCTCCCTCTCTCTTCACTCTTACATCAACATTGAAGCTGCTCACTTCTAATATTGATTCCATTATTGCAATGCTAATGCTTTGTAGGCAGCCGTGTATTTTGTAGATTTGGTTCCAGGAACTGAACAGAGGAATAACACAGCGCTCCCTTGATCAATAAGCGCAATGCTTTATTAATATTTAATCGTAATTGTTACTGTTGTTACCGTGTGTTATGATTTGTGGGTTCATAACTGTTGTTACTGTTTAGCGTGCTTGTGCGTTTGTTATTGTTGTTGTTTTGTTGTTTTTACTGTTATTGTTGTTTCTTATTTCATTTTCATTGGTTTGATTATTATTGTTATTGGTTCATTATTGTCATTTTATAATCATTATCATTATTATTATTATCATCACAGTTATTATTATTATTATCGTTATTATTGTGCCAAACAGTGTAGATCTTGATCACTATATATAGGCCTCAAGCACCTTTCGGGAAATCCTTGCAGTTCCTTGCAGGGCATCCTTCTGCAATAGCCCTCTCCATACCTTCACACCAATTCGTTCAATTCAAGTTTCTGAATTAGCCTACATGTAACCATACTTAACGCCCCTACGACCACTGGTATCACCTTCGCTCTCACCTTCCACAATCTCGAGTTCGACCTTCAAATCCTGATGTCCCTGGATCTTCTCTCTCTCCTCCTCAATTATCCTCTCGTCACCCGGGTCAGCTGTGTCGATTAACAAGCTATCCATTAAAGTCCTGTCTACTACAAGAATGCCTGGGCGCCTAACTTTAGTTTCACGATCAGCTTGTATCATATTCCACAAGATCTCGTCTTTGTTATTTTTGGTGCCTGTTCTGCTGTGTGTTCGTACCATTTCGTTATATAAGAGAGTTCATATTTTTTGCATAAGTCCTAGTGCATAATTCGGGCAACGTTGTCATGTCACTTCTTGCATTCTGTTTGTGCCAACTTACTGCATTCATTTCTTTCTCCACAAAGTCTGCATAAGGGAGATATGTTCCGTTTCTCGACATGCTGTTTCACTGCCTTGGTTCGAAGAGCTTAGTCCTGTGCCGCCATGTTCATTACCTCATTTTCCCTCTCCAAATCTCCCAGTCGATACCATAACCACGACTTTTCCATATCAGCAACTCCCTCTCCCTGACCCCCTTTTCCAGTCATCGTCATTACCTTCCTTCTTTCCATACCCTCCTTTGCTTCTCGTCCCTTCCTTCTCTCGGTTTCTTCAACGTCTTCATCATTCATCACGCTCTGGTTGAAAACTTAAACGAGTTGTGGCTCTTCTGTCTTTGTTAGATAGAACCCTGAGCTATTTTCTTCAGTACGGACGCTTAGATCCTCTAAACTTTCCAAGCCCCTCCACCATTTTCTCTGTTAACATGCTATCCGGTCAACACTGTCCCTTGGGTACAGTGCTCTGTAAATGACCATCTGTTTCCTGGTTTTATGATCGATGTTTTGCAGTTCTGCTTTCGCCCAGTTCAAAATCCCTGCTCCATACAGCATCACAGATACAGCCCATGTATTCATCGCACCTGTCATTGCCATGCTATTCAGTTTTGACTTCAACACTCCGTTATTATTATTACTATTATCAATATTATTATTATTACTGTTGTTGCTGTTACTATTATTCTTATTATTATCATCATCATTATCATCATCATAGCTTATTATTATTATTATTATTATTATTATTATTATTATTATTATTATCATCATCATTATTATTATTAATAATAGTAGTAATAGCAGTAATAGTAGTATCATGATCATGATCATCATCATCATTATTTTTCTAATTATTACTATTGTCATTACTATTATTACTATTACTATTATTACTATTGTCATCCTCATCATTAATATCACCAGCATCATGACGTCTCTGTAACTAATAACGATATTAATGCTTATTATTAGATAGATAAATAAAGAGAGAGAGAGAGACAGAAACAGAGACAGAGACAGACAAAGAGAGACAGAGAGACAGAGAGAGAGAGAGAGAAAGAGAGAGAAAGAGACAAACAGAGAGAAAGAGACACGAGCTAACACGAAAAAAAATAGAAAATTGTAAACATGTATTTCTTACGACTGTTGTTCTCCAATTAAACTGCATTAGTGTAAGATCTTCAAGACTGAAAACGATTGATCAGTCTCAGACCCCCTCCCCTTGCCCCTTCCCCTCTCCGACCTCCCAAGTGACGCGCAAGTGTTGGTAACTAAGCGACCGATGACGTCACACGCAGCTCAGACCAATCACAAGGTTTGTGTATGGATGGAGAGCCTATTGTTTCGTTTTTATTTTATTTTTTCCATCTTTTCTTTATGATGTTTCGCAGGACTTTAATTGTAAAAATGTCCCTGAATGATGCACTCTTTCTGTCTCTCTCTTTATCTTTATCGCTATATCCGTATCTTCGATATTTTGATTTTGACTCACGAATGGCATCATTAACAGCCATTACCAAATTCCTAAATCAGAAAGACAGAGAAAAAAATAAAAAGGTAATCCACAATAATCCCAAGAAACATCACGTAATCAACAAAAACATCCGGGCATTTTTATGACCGAAGTTGTCAGAAGAAAAGGAATTTATAGAGGGATTTTTTTTTTCATATTTTATTGCGCTTGCAGATTGCCTTGATTAGAAGCTTTTGGGGAATAGCACTGTGTTACGTCGTGTTAAACCTTCTGGCGACTGCGGTGTTAAGTCTTAAAGGTCGTTGAAGTTGTATGCAAATGAGGGATTCGTCGATATACCTACATGGTATTCCTGAGGACGAGCACCCATTTTTGTTTATTTTAAATTGTCTCTGTCGTTATTTACTGCTCTTTATCTTTCTATTTCTGTCCTCTCTCTCTTTCATTTTTGCTCTCTCTCTCTCTCTCTCTCTCTCTCTCTCTCTCTCTCTCTCTCTCTCTCTCTCTCTCTCTCTCTCTCTCTCTCTCTCTCTAGCTGCCACCATCCACGGCATTATAGCTATCTCTTATGTCTTAAACCAATAAATGCTAAGACAACGCAAAGTAATTCCAGAGTATGTGAAAATATTAATTAAGTGAAATAGAAATCTACGACAAATATTGAGGATGTCATAGGAAAATAGGATACTATACGGGAATAGGATGTCATAGGGAAATATTGAGGATGTCATAGGGAAATAGGGTGTCATAGGGAATATTGAGGATGTCATAGGGAAACAGGGTGTCATAGGGAAATATCAAGGATGTCATGAGAAAATAGGATGTCATATAGGACAATGACTGCTTTAGGTATGCGACGGTAAAATCTGTAAAATGTCCTGAAAATTACAGCCCGAATGAAAGGCAACACGCCATGCCAGCCAGTGTGCATGTTAACGTTTTATTCTAATTTGACTCGCTTGATTTCGCTCAATGACCTTGAACTTCTAAAAAAAAAAACAAAGTGAGTTCGGAGGAGGAGGCCAGGAAGGTAAAAGAGGGAGGGAGGGAAGGGGAGAGAGAAGAGGGAGAGAGAGAGGGAAGGAGGGAGGGAGAGAGAGAGAGAGAGAGAGAGAGAGAGAGAGAGAGAGAGAGAGAGAGAGAGAGAGAGAGAGAGAGAGAGACAGGGAGAGAGAGAGAGAGAGAGGGGGGGGGTTCGGAGGGGGAGGCCAGGAAGGTAAAAGAGGGAGGGAGGGAAGGGGAAGGAGAAGAGGGAGAGAGAGAGGGAAGGAGGGAGAGAGAGAGAGAGAGAGAGAGAGAGAGAGAGAGAGAGAGAGAGAGAGAGAGAGAGGGAGGGAGGGAGAGAGAGAGAGAGGGTTCGGAGGGGGGGGCCAGGAAGGTAAAAGAGGGAGGGAGGGAAGGGGAAGGAGAAGAGGGAGGATGAGGGAAGGGGGGGGAAGAAGAAAGGAGGAGAAGGATGGGGGATGGAGAAAGGGAGGGGAGGATGATGATGGAGTAATGAGGAGAGGGACAAACGTGGCCTTCTGTAAGTGTTTAGTGGCGAACTTTTGGTCCTTAATGTGAATGGATGTAGAGGTCATATGCCAAGCTTATGTTTATGTTTGTGGTTTGTGTGTATGTGTATCAGTAACTGTACATTTATATGCATCTGATCTTTTAACATTTTTTTTTTATTTATTCTGGTATTGTAATACCATTTAGATTTGTAACACTTATATACTATACTTATAGGACTTATACACATCCATGTAGACTTAAATAACCCTTAAATATACCCTTTGTAACACTTATATACACTCACTACACTCATAACACTTATATACATCCATTATACTTACAACAGTTATACACACCATATACTTAAATACTTCTAACCGCCCACTCAATCAAGCCATCAACCCCCACCCCCTTCTGCCCAGGACGAGGCGGGAGCGCACGCCCTCGCCGCCCGCGGGACACCCACTCCACGCAGACGACGACCGAGGAGACATGTCGCCCTCCCCGGCAGCCTACACGCCCACGTCAGACCCCGACGAGCTCAGCACCTCCTGGTCCCACCCCGGAAAGCCGCCCGCGCAGCCTCAGAATGGGCGGCCGCGCTCAGCCTCCTTCAGCGAGGGCAGGAGGAAAGTGCGCCCCTCCACCGCCACGCTCGAGAAGCCCAAGGTAAAGGCTGTGGCTCCTTTGTTAATAAGAGTAAATGGAGTAAACGGAGTGAATGGAGTAAGTAAATGGAGTAAATGGAGTAAGTAAATGGAGTCGTGGAGTAAGTAATTAGAGTCTTGGAATAAGTAAATAGAGTAAATGGAGTAAGTAAATGGAGTAAGTAATCGGAGTAAATGGAGTAAGTAATCGGAGTAAATGGAGTAAGTAAATGGAGTAAATGGAGTAAATGGAGTAAGTAAATAGAGTCTTGGAATAAGTAACATCAATGAGTACATCAATGGAGTCAAGGAGTAAGTAAACAGAGTGATGGAGTAAATAAAGAGAGCAGTGGAGTACGTAAGCGGAGTAGGTAAATAGAGGAACCGAGTGAGTAAATAGAGTAACGGTAACATCTCCAGCTGTGATAGAAGGGCTGCTGTGCTCACATCTCCTCGCTTGTTTGGTGGTAGCACGCCCGCCTGTCTTAGCTAGTTAAACATGTATGGATATTAGTTGCTGAAGATTTCTCTGTGTCGTTTTTACTAATTCTTTGCCTCATTCGCCGCCTTAAGAAGATATAGTATGTTCCTCTTCAGTAAAAAAAAATGTAGTGAAAAGTTAACTGTAGAATAACCATACTAACAACAAAGTAATAATCAAAAAAAAAAAAAAAAAAAAATGCGGCATGACCTACTAATAGAAAGCACGAATCCCGCGTGCTGTTCGCGTCCAGGTGCTTGACATGAGCCTCCGACACGAAGTAGACATGAGCGAGATGAGGCGTGACATGCTGGACCAGGTGATCCTCACGAAGGACACTCACGGAGGCTCCAGCGACTACTCCAGTGACTTCACATCGTCTTCGCCTTCGTCGGTGGGCAGCAAAAGCCCCTTCGACGACGAGGCCACGTCAGAGGGTTCGGAGGGGGAGGCCAGGAAGGTAAGAGAGGGAAGGAGGAAAGGAGGGAGAGAGGGAGGGAAGGAGGGAGGGAGAGAGGGGGGGGGGAAGGGGAAGGAGAAGAGGGAGGGAGGGAGAGAGAGAGAGAGAGAGAGAGGAGAGAGAGAGAGAGAGAGAGAGAGAGAGAGAGAGAGAGAGAGAGAGAGAGAGGGAGAGAAAGAGAGAGAGAGGGAGGGAGGGAGAGAGAGAGAGAGGGAGGGAGGGAGGGAGGGAGAGAGAGAGGGAGGGAGGGTTCGGAGGGGGAGGCCAGGAAGGTAAGAGAGGGAAGGAGGAAAGGAGGAAAGGAGGGAGAGAGGGAGAGAGAGAGAGAGAGGGAGGGAGGGAGGGAGGGAGAATGAGAGAGAGAGAGAGAGAGCTCGGAGGGGGAGGCCAGGAAGGTAAGAGAGGGAGGGGGGAGGGAGGGAGGGAGGGAGGGAAGGGGAAGGAGAAGAGGGAGGATGAGGGAAGGGGGAGAAAGAAGAGAGGAGGAGAAGAAGGATGGGGGATGGAGAAAGGGAGGGGAGGATGATGATGGAGGAATGAGGAAAGGGAGAAGAAGGAATGTAAGGTAGAAGGATGGAGAGAGGAGGGAGAGAGGGAGGGGAAGGGGAGAGAGGATGAAGGAAGGGAAGGGATGTTGAGGAGGAGAATGGGGGAAGGAGAGGAATAAAGAAGGGGTGGGAAGGAGGGAGGAAGGGGAAGCCAGGAAGGGAAGAGGAGAGAGAGAGGGAGGATGGGGGAATGAGGAGGAGGGGAAGGAGGGAGGGATGAGGAAAGTAAGAGAGAAATGGGGAGGGATGAAAAGGAGGTAGAAGGAGCGCGAAGGATGGAGGAGGGAAGGAGGAGGAAGGGAGGGGAAGGAGGGAGAGCGGGGAAGGGGAGTGAGGTAGGATGAGGAGGGGTCGGAGGGAGAGGGAGGGTGGAAGAGAGAGAGAGAGAGAGAGAGAGAGAGAGAGAGAGAGAGAGAGGGAGGGAGGGTGGGAGGGAGGGAGGGAGGGAGGGAGAGAGAGAGAGAGGGGGGGGGGAGAGAGGGTTCGGAGGGAAAGAAGGGGGAAGGAGAAGGAGGAAGGTAAGGGAGGATGGAGGAGGGAGAAGAAGGGGGAAAGAAGTGAGGAGGATGGGAGGGAGGGGGAAAGGAGGGGGAGACCAGGAAGGTAAGATACGGAGGGGGGGATGAGGAAGAGGGAGGGGAAGGAGGAGGAGGGAGGAAGAAGAGGGAGAAGGAGGAAGAAGAGGGAGAAGGAGGGAGTGAATGAGGAGAAGGAGGGAGGAAGGGAAGAAGGAGGAAGGGGATTAAAAGGAGGAGAAAGGGAGGGAGGGAGGATGGGAGGGAGTAAAAAGAGAGAAAGAGAGGGAGGAAAAAAAAAGAAAAAGAGTAAAATAAAGAATAAAGTAAGGAAAGAGAGGGAAAGAAAGATTAGAAACATAGAAGGTAAATAAAAAAACGAAACAAGAAATAAATATCAAAATGAGAAGAAAAAAAAACATTGAAATTAGACACTAAAAAAATCTTAGAATAAAATAAAATAAAAAAATAAAAAAAAATACTCCCACAAACTAAACACAGCCACGAAATCACACCATGAGGGCATAGCAATGGGAGGGGGGGGGGATAGAGAGTTGAGAAAAAGCTTTGTAAAACAAGGGAAAAAAATATATATCACTCTATTCTTCCTTTCGCTCCTCTTTCTCACCTGACCTAGCTTGACCTTTGACCTTTAACCCGTGACCTTCCCTGCGTTTGTAACACTTCTTTAGTTTCATCTATCCATTTCCTTGTTTTAATTGTTCTTTTTCTTTTCTTTTTCACCTATCAACTGAGGCTGTAGAACTTTAATGAGGATAATTATGTTATGTGTGGCATAGTGAAGATAGTGATATGGTTGGTAATGATGATTTAAACTTCAATTATTGCAATGGTAATCACGATGCTGATATGAACTAATTATAATATTCATGATGAAATAATGGATAATGATAAGAATATGATAGTGATGATGATGATGATAAGAAATTGGTGGTGACAGTAGTGATAACGATTAAAATGATAATTGCAATAATGAAAATCATGATAATGATAATAATGGTAATAGTGATGATAAGGATGCTGATAAAAGAATAAAGGTAATGGTAATAATAGTAATAATAATGATAATGATAATAATGATGATTGATAATAATGATAGACGTAAAAGTAATTATGACAATAAATGTAGTAATGATTATCAATAATTATGATGATAAAAATAATAATAATGATGATAACAACAATAATGTTAATGATAATAGCTATAGTATTAATAGTAGTAGTAATAGTGCTAATGATAATCGTAATAATGTTAATATTAATAACGATAATGAATATAATAAGAGTAACAGTAATAATGAATATGATAACCATAATATTAATGATAATGATAAAAACGATGACGATAATCATAACACCAACAGTCGTACTAATGATATATATAGTGATAATATTGATAATAATACAGCAATTATTGACGTTACTGTTGCAAAGACAATAGTAACATCAATAACAATGAAACTACAAATAGTAAATAATAACGACAGTACTGGTAGAGGCAGCGTGGATAGGAAAGTGACAAAGTTAGGACTTATAATGAGAGATTTTGATTCCTAATAGTGGCAACAGTTTTAGAAAGGAGAATGTTATTTTTACCATACTAGTGCAACTACCACTAACAAACCACCTACTTATATATAGTTTGTACCTTTCTTCTGTATTTTGCATCTTCCTCCAAACACATGACGGCTATGATCAAAGATACTGTTAAGAGTTTGCAGTCTGAAAATGGCAGTACAAAGCGTCCTTAGTCTGACCCACAGCGACCCACACTCCTGGCATCCCTCCAACCCACCTTCACCTGTGCATCTTGCTTATAACAGTCCCTGCTTATCACTCTCGGCATCTGCAAATCACATATCCTTCTGCCTGTTTTTATTTTTTCTTTCTCTCTCTCTCCTTCCTTCTTTCCTTTTCCCCTATGCTTGCTTCTATCCTCCTCCTCCCTTTTTTTTCTCTATCCATCTTCTCTCGGTGTGTGGACAGGTCCGGCCGTCCACCATGCGGTTGCCTCGACCCTCTCGCCACATCGCCGTGCCGGTCATCACGGCCCAAAACTCGCGCCCCTCCAAGAAGACTTCCAATCTCAGAAGCTTCCTGCCGAGGGGACGTCGAAGGCAGCTCGAAGAGGTGTTCACGGGGCCGAAGGATAAAGTGAAGGTGAGAGGTTTAGGGTTAAGCAAGTGTAAAAAAAAATGGAGATGATGTCACCTCCAAGACGTCACCTCCGGGATATATATTCTTCAGCGAAGTCCTGTGATGATTCTTCCAGTCCTGTTTGGGGACACTCGCGCACCATATCTCTGCTTCGCCCTACCTCACCCTTAACGTGACTGAGGATCTTTCAAATCCCACAAAGTACAGCCTCGTCTTAAACATATATCCTGTACACGTCCATGCCATGTTTTTCGACCCACCACGCGTATATTTCTTCTGATTCCCGTTAATCCTGAATTGATTATTTCAGCATATATATATTTTTTTTTATCTCGAAAATACTGACGATAAAGACGAAATTTTAAGAACCTGTCTCTTTAGCTGAAATTATTCGTTTTATCACGTTTCTTCCTTCCGCCGGCCTCTCTGATCTATCTCTTTTTAACGTCTTATCTCTTTAGCTTCCCTTAACCCTGGCTTTTTCTTACAGCTGCTTTATAGCCTTAGAGGGACGTTCGGCGTGTTCTGCATGGGCGCATTGTTAATCACGCTTTTTTCTCCCTCCCTCTGGTTTCTGGCTTACGAGCATTTGCATACGCATCTTACATGCTTTTCCCTCCGTTGCCACTTCTCGAACGGATCGGCCATGGTTTTGCTTCAGCTAACTAGCCCTGGGTGATGGTAATGCATCTGACTCGATATGGTTTGCTTTTGGAATAACTCGCTGGTCCTTGAGCGCTACGAAGGCCGCGCCCTGTCTCACGCGTCCCCCTTGACCCGCAGATCCCCGAACCGTGCCTGACGTGCGGGAAGGAGCAGAACCCGGAGCGGTTCCACAGCCACCCGCTCGACATCATGAAGTTTAAGCCGAAGACGGAGGAGCGCGCCAAAGCCAGGGCGCTGAGCAAGCTCATCGTGACCAAACCCACGGCACTCAAGTACAAAAGTCGAAGCGTCGACATCGAGAACAAGGCCCCGGGCGGGCGGAGGAGCAAGCTGAAGCCGCCCTCGACGGCCTCCAAGAAATCCCGCAGCGTGGACAGCTCGCCCGTCCCCGCCAAGAAGGGCCAGAGCGCGATCCCGCTCAAGAAGTTCATCAGTGAACAAAAGGCTTCCATGAACAAAAACAAAGACTTCACCGTCGAGATCTTCGACGCGCAGTCTTCGCCGAGGAGCGAGGACAGCTCCAGCCCGCCGGCGCCGCAGAGAAGGCGCGAGACGTCCAGACAGAACGGGGAGAGCGAGCGCAAGAAGGGGGCGCCACCTCATCCTCGACACATGGGCAAGATCGAGGAGGAGCGTGAAAGCCGACCCGAAGAGACCACGAAGACCCGGAGATCCGAGAACGGAAGCCGGCGATCCGAGAACGGGACCCGCGGAGGACAGAGAGCCACCGGAACGGCGCCCACCCGCGTGTGCTACATCTGCGGGCGGGAGTTCGGGAGTCGGTCCTTGGCCATCCATCAGCCACAGTGCCTCGAGGTAAACATTGTGTCACGTTAATACTAACATAAACCTCCCGATTTCTATATTCTTTTTAGTAATTATAATAGAAAAAAACAACAACCAACCAATGCAATTAAGTGTATTTTCGAGCCGTGAAGGAACAACAACTAACACACTGGAATATCCACAGATTAAGAGTTCCCCCTTTCATCTTCATTTTCCCTCAGGAACAATAGACCGCCTGTTACACTATCGTTTGTAGGTCGCTAATTACAGGCTGTAAATATAGTTAGGCCGATGATGGAAGAAGAAAGAGAGAGAAAAATGAATGCAACCCATGCATGTGAACGTGCAACTCTAGCTCTTACTGATAAATTGTTGACCCAGCGCTCTCTTACTGTCAGAAGCTGAACTTCCACATGATAAATGCCGTAAACCCGCGGTCTCTATAATCACTAGTGTTTTCGCCTTGAAAAATTCTCGCAGATTTTTTATTTTTCTTTTTTTTCTTTTTTTTGCCACATACGTTTTTTTTAGCGTGGTATTGTGATATATTATTGCCTTTGCCATTAGATTTTTTTTCTGTTTCTCATACATCATCATATGTAATTACTTCCCTCAACTTAGGTGGGGGATATATAACAATGATCATTACCTCGTCGTACCAAGCAGCTTAAAAAAAATTCAAAGAATTCCTCTATATATTCGCATTTTATTAATTTTTCCAACCGGTAATCCCAAGGTTAAGCTAGCTTTAAAATATCTTCCGTTGAAAATAGTAGTTTAGATCTTACGCGTTTTACCGATGGCTTTCTTTGAGATTTTCAAAATTCCTTGTATCGTTTAGGTATTATCACTTAAGGTGCATAATTATCCTGAATTAATAACCTGTACATCCAAGAGTCACTAATATACAATGACGGAATCAAACAGGGATTCTCAAAATGCCTTAAACTCCATTTGTATTATATATTATTTTTATCATATGTCATTGTTGCAAAATGGAAGTCAAGAAAATAATGAACCAGGTAATGAGACTGCTGCCTCAGACCAAACAGATGTTTTAATAACAAAATTGCTTAAAATCTAAATTACCTCTTAGTTTTTTGTTAAGTCCTTGAACATTATTCGACATTTTCCCTTAGCCCAACCCTGAAATAGTGTTTAGGATCATTTTAATTATAAGTGACAGTAAAAATAATAGCATTGACTTTTTTTATTTCTTTCTTTCTTTAATTATTGTCCCTGTTTCATATCCGAATCAGTCTCGATCATTACACATTCTACATGTTAACGCGAAAATTAGATTTCATAAATATCGCTCAGTTTATAAAACCATAATACGACGATATATTCTATAGAACTAGCATAGCAATATCGCCCCATAACAACGGCGAAAGTGTATCTTTTGACGAAACGACGCAAGCAAAGGCGTCCTTAGCAACGGTAGATCAATCTTGTCCTTTGTGCACTATGTACGGTCCATCTCTGATATAATCCGATCTGACATGTTCGTGACAAGTATTGGTTTTGATTATGCACAAGGAGAGAGAGGGGGTCGGGGTGAGCTGGAGGGGAGGGTGGATAGGAGAAAGGGAGGGATGAAACGAAAGTGGAAGGGAGGTTAAGGGGGAGGGTGCTGATGGAGTGTATGAAGGTGAGAGATAGATGGGTAGGTAAGTGGGTAGAGAAAGAGAGAGAGAGAGACAGACAGACAGACAGACAGACAGAGAGAGACAGACAGACAGAGAGGGAGAGGGAGACAGTGAGAGGGGGAGAAAGGAGAGAGAGAGAGAGAGAGATAGGAGAGAGAAGGGAAGGAGAGGGAGAGAGAAAGGAGAGAGAGAGAGAGAGAGAGAGAGAGAGAGAGAGAGAGAGAGAGAGAGAGAGAGAGAGAGAGAGAGAGAGAGAGAGAGGCAGACAGACAGACAGGTAGACGACAGACAGACAGAGATGGACAGGGAGACAGTCATGGCCCCATGAGAGAGAGAGAGAGAGAGATAGGGAGAGAGAAGGGAAGGAGAAGGAGAGAGACAGAGACAGAGAGAGAGAGAGAGAGAGAGAGATGGAGGGTAGGAGAAAAACTGTGCGTGTGTTTATGTGAGTGTGTGTGTGTGTTTCTGAAAGAGAGAAAGAGAGAGGGAGAGAAAGAGAGAAAGGGGAAAGGAGAGAGAGAGAGATAAAGGAGAAAGAAGAGGTAGACAGACATACAGACAGAGAGACAGACAAACAAACAGGCAGAGAGAGAGAGAGATATAATGAGACCGAAAGAGATAGAGAGACATACAGAGAAAGAGAGAGGGAGAGAGAGAGAGAGAGAGAGAGAGAGAGAGAGTGAGTGAGAGAGAGAGAGAGAGAGAGAGAGAGAGAGAAAGAGAGGGAAAAGAAAAAGAGACAGACGCCAGGCTAACAAAGCAGCGCCGCCAGACAAAAGACGAGCTTCATGGATGTTGACAGACCAAGCTCTCCTCAGACAAAGAGGAAAAAATTGACACCTATTGTTTGTAGAATAACACGAAAAGGAATTTAGATTTTCTTGATAATAAATAGCTTTAAAAACACAGATAATAACGACAAAGGTGACCGTACGGACAAGAGTGTAAAAGGAAAGTTTTGCACCAGAAAGATAAACCTGAACGGGAGAGAGGAGGGGTGTTGTGTGGTCATGCGCGCGTTGTCAGCTTGCGTTATGTTATTGCCCCCCCTCCCCCCCATGCTCCTCTGTCCCCCTCCTCCCTTACTACCCCCCGTCACACACCCTCATACACCCTAACTTCTCCCTTATGAACCTCTCTCTCTCTTTCTCCCTGTATTGATTGTCCAGGTAATGCTATGAACTCAGCAAATAGTTCCGTGAGAATTGCCTTTGAAAAGTAGCATTTCGGCCGTTGCTTTACTTTTGTTCTGTGCCATTCGGTTTGGTTCTGGGTTTATGGTAGAAATGGTGGGTCAGGTTTATCAAAGAATATCAGATCTCCGAAGTAATCGTTAGAACGCGCGGATACGTGTACCATGGTGTTAGCGGGTATGTAGTGAAATCTGGTGTGTCTGTCCGTAGAGTTCATTCACCTCTCCCCCCTATCCTATACTTTTTTGTTTTTTATTCCTCTCGGTCCCTTGTTTATTCATCTATTTACGATTACTTTCTAACAGTATATTACACACTGTAATCCTCAAGACGATGGCCTCCTTGCGAATACATCTAGGAAAGGAGCGTAAAGAATATTAATTTAGTAAAAAAAAAATCTCTACCGGTTTCTCACCTCGTCTATAATTTACAGAAATGGAGGCGGGAGAACGAGAAACTACCACGCAACCTGCAGCGTCCGGAACCCGTGCTTCCCGAACACGAACTCACACACGAGGAATGGAACGAATACGCGTGGAAGACGGCACAGGTACAGTATGTAGGTTAAGAGGATGAGTCAGGTTTGCAGAGGGACATTTTCGTGTGTGTGTG